ATATATATATAACATCAATAGATGTCTAAATATGCTTCTTGTTTTGAGTTTTGACCTATGAAATTCTCGCTTCTTTGAACTAATATTACCTCCCAAATGCAAATACTTCAAGGTATGATTAAATTGGTTAATTATCTGGTCTTCAGGTTTGAAAACTTCCAGCCCCCCAAAATTCCAGATAAGTTATTAAACACATTATTTTTTATGACAAGGCGCTAGATCATCCAGCTTTTCAGGGAGCCAGAGCTTCCAGCTCCTAGGAATCTGCAAGCTTCCAGTTCTCGTAATTAGAAGCAAAAACGACGTAGAGATATCTTCATCTCCTGGTTTCACCAAAAGACGAAACTTCATCTCCTGGTAGGGTTTGGAGGTGCGCCTTGGTTGGTTGTTTGGATTGATTGCTATTCTAAATAACCCGCCCTCCTCCTTTCATGCTTTGCGCAAGAATAAACCCTAGAATTAATGCAGAAGAAAGCTGCTTTCCTTTTTGGTGATTGATGATTTTAGAGAAGAGTGGGATGTCAAATAGTAGCTGTAGGTTGAAGGGTGGGGGCGATATGCAGATGGTGGTGGAGCCCAAATCCCAAACTGCAACAATTGGGAATGCGATAGTTGAGTACAAACCTGCTCTTCCTCCTCTAAAGGAAGAGGAAGAAGACTTGGAAGTCAAGCTCCGCCGAATTATCGACCACGTCCCTGTTCGTGTTAGCAACACCTCAGGCAGCTCGGCTGGTTCTGGCTCTGGTGACTTCCATCAGGTTCCTCTCTCTCTATCTCTCTCTTTGTATTTTTGTGTACAACTATGATGCCATACTTGCCACTTTCTTTGGCGTGATTTGCAGAGAACGGATCTCTTGGTTCAATGTATTATGCTAACCTAAGAATAGAAATAATTTGAGGAGAATAGCATTCTCTTGTTTTCATTATCTTTAGGATTCTAGTTTGAATTATTTTGCAATCTGTTGTGTTTCTTTCTGTAGCCTATAATTCTTGGGCATCATTTATCGATAGGTTCTATGGGCTCATCATTTGGCTTGTACTAGATGCATTGACATGTTTGTTTTAATTTTTAATAATGAGTGTTTCTTCTTTAGATATACTACAATTGCTCAAAAACCCTAGCTTGGATGATTAATGCAGAAACTAGTTGGCAATCAAACTCAGTGCTGGCAAAATTGAGCAACTGCCACCCCCCCTGCAAGATCCGGGTTTCTTTTGGAACTTACATTTGGGCGTGTTTGTGTGGTGGAAGTTTCGGCCTCAGAAGCCAAGACCTCTGAATAATCTGGCTCCATTGGGAGGCATGGGAGGGGCAGCTTCCATTTTCCCCATTTCAGAAAATGGAGGAAAAAATTGGAAGCTGTCCGTCCCCCATGGAGCTGAAATATTCGGACATCAAGCCAAAACTTCTGCCAAACAAACATGCCCTCATGTTCAGCTTGATGCTACCTTGAGTAGGGGAGGGGGATGGGGATCTGTTTCTCATGGTTACACACTTTTGGCGCCCTTGATGTTCCTTTATTAGATTTTAAAATCATTGATCACTGGACGCCAGAACCCCTTCCCAGATCTTGCCCAAGGGAGTACAGTGGCTTTTGTATTATCTTTGATACTATCCTCTTCTCGACTTTTATTATTTAAGCATCTCTCATTCCTTCAAGCCGCATCTCTTGTTCCTTCAAGCCAAACCAGCCAAAGGACTAACAACCTTATTAGCCTCCACAAACCCTCTTGGGCAGTAAGTCCTCCACTGTAGGTGGTTCAACCCAAAACCAATCAAATAAGCTCACATGGAAAGACCTAATTTGTCTAGAACAAGAAAACATAAGAACAAGTGACTTACTGTTTCAGCCTTGGCCTGGCACAAAATATTGGCAAGTGACATGCCTTGGTCAATCATATTGTCACAACAGTGAGTGCCTTCCCAAGCATTACTTTTTTTTTTGAAGTGGTTAACTTTGTATTGGTAAAATTAAATATTACACCAAGGAACAAAAGATGGGAGCCCACAAGTTGGGTGCTCATTATACAGAATGTACAATTAAAGAGGGGAGAAATACAGAAAAAAGGGAAGCAAAGGAGACGAGGGCAAAGAGAGGAGGGAAGAAGGAAAATAGGGACTATAGATTTAAAATAGAGTAAAGAAAATATGTAATAAAAAACAAAGAACAGCAGGTAGATAGACTGATAGAGGTGGGGGAAGTCCTGCAAAAAGACCCTGCCCAAGGCTAAAATGGGCAGCTTGGCCCTGTCTTGCTACTCGAGGGATCAAAGATATCCACACGTTGAGTCTGTATCCAAGGAAAGTCCTTCAAAAAGACCCTTCTCAAGCATTACTAACCAAGCAAATGCTTACGTCTTATCAGGGGCAGGGATCGTCAACACAATGTTAGCAATAGAGTTAGCCTCATCACTCAAATAATTATTTTGTACATTGATATGACTGAAAACATGCCTTCACTATCTGGTTGCCAAATGAGTCTATCCTCTTTAGGTGGTAAAAAGAAACTCTTGAGCAACAATTGCAATAGTGATGGAAGTCTTGATCTTCTCCTTCTTTAATGATCTCTCAGGGATGGGGTCTATACTAACCTGAACCTTCAATGGCTTATCCCATTGTTATTTCAACCCTAGCGGCCAAGCCATACAGATGTGGGAAAACTTGTTTGAGAGACATTGTCCCAATCCAGGTGTCTAGCCTGAATTAAGTATTATGTCTAATGCTTATCTTTTCCCCTATGTTACGCAAAAACCAGATTTCCCTATGTTCCTCAGATACCCAGATTTGCAGATGTTGACTCCTTTATTTATCCCAGAGACTTTGAGTGGTTCTATATGCTTTGACAAGACCTCGCACATCCTCGCCATGCTTCTCCTTAACAACTTATTTCCAAAGATGTTCACTTGGTATCCCGTATCTCCACAACCACTAAGTAATTGGTGCTTGAGTCATCGCCTTCACCCCAACTATACTACCCCCCCAAAAAAAAACCAAAAAGTCCGAAAAAATAATGAAAACAAAACTAAAATAAAAAAAAAGCTCCCTCATCAATCCTTCTACATTATTTGCTATTGAGGTTCAAATAGCAAGGAGAGACATGTAATATATGGATATATTGGCCAAAATGGATTTAATAAGGGTAATCCTCCCACCCATAGCTAAGAATCTTACCTTCCATAGATAAAGTTTCTTCTCAAACGTAAGCAAGACCGTACCCCACATTCCTTTGCCTAGACGTCATCGACATAAGTGTAAGCCTTATTTGTTTGTGATCCGAACCACACTTCAACATCATTGGACCCCAGATCTCCCACAGTCCCTCAGATTGCCCATTTGTTTGTGATCCGAACCACACTTTTAACAACATTGGATCCCAGATCACCCAGAGTCCCTCAGATTGCACCCCAAACTCATATTGCCACAGATTTGCGTTATTTTTCTTCATCTCAAGGTGGAATTTACTAACTAGGAGGCATACTACCTCTTTTCTTGGGGGTCTCCATGACCCTTATGCTTCATGAGAGAATTTTCATGGATCATGAAGTTCTTTGATAGTGGGCATCTTTTTTCCTCCTATGGCTCATCGAGGCCTATATTCCCATTATACCTAATATCATAGGTCATGTTCTTTGGCTTCCTGTTTCGTACACCCTTTCCTGTGCTCCTTAGTTACTTCTACAATTGACATTCCTTGCTTTCACTGCATTTTTCTTCAAGGCATCAATAATGTGTATTAAAGTAGTCATCATATCACAATAGTATTTGAAGGACTCTCGGCTTGATTTCATGCCTCTAGTATTCTTGCTTCCTTTGAGTCAATTGAAGTTACCCCATCGTGTGGTTCCTCTATGTGGCTAAAGATATCCACCTCTGGGTCTATCCAAATCCATCTCCCAGTACCCATAGTCCTACTGGGAGAAAGGGGTAGAATATAATGGATTATAGGGGGTTTGGGCGTCTCTGAGCCCAATTCAGGCCAAATGTTTTGCTTAGTTTTGGGAACGTTCGGTCCATATATCAAAGAAACTTTCCAAAGGAAACCGTCTGAGGCTCTTTTGAAAACAATATTTACGGTGAAGTCCGTAATTGAAGAAGACGGGTGGATGTTGAGGTGGGGTCCGATATTTTACCCAAATGCCTCTAGAAGCTCCAAGGGAATCCTCTACCGCCCATTGCGATAGTCCCTGCGGATGTTGATTCAATGTGATGGTCTAATCAATCAGATGGGATTGAAGACTCTTGAATATGGGTGTGCCTGTGGAAAAAAGCACAATGTCATACAGTAGTGAGCTATTTCATGTTATCTGCATTCTCACATGGTTGAAAGCATTGCGACAGACCATTTTTCATAAATGTGAAGTGTTTGCGTGCTGCCCAAATGTCTTCTAAAGCAAGCCTCACTGAAACTTAATGAGCTATGGTCATTCACATTATTGATGTTTGATGCTTTTATGATTCATTGGCCATAATTTGGGGCTTATAAAAACTTCAAAAAATAAAAGGACATAAAAGTTAAAGACTTATGACTTTGGGCCAGGTTCTTCTCTAAAGGTGGCACTCCTCCTAACTATGGTCAGAACACGAGTTCTGAAGGAGCTTCCGTAGAGCTTGGCTCTAGGAAAGGGAGTTATTTACGTATAGACACGAAGGCAAAATGGAAAATACAAAAAGCTCCATTTTTTCGCAAATATTACACAGAAGGTCGGTTGACTTGCATCCTTTTTATTTTTTCTAGATTGCCCTCGGTCCAATGTTCCCAACGTCGGACCAGCCAGTTTAAATTTCTTTTAAAAAGAGAAAAAAAGTCATGAGGTTCTGACCAGTTTGATGTCCCAAATATCGGACTGGCAAGTTTTAAGCGGTCTGAGGTGGATCTCAGATTGGTAGTTATGTGCCCTATTGCCACTGTATGGCTCTCTGAGGTTAAGCGGTCCGAGGTTCAGGATATCGGACCGCCCCAAACTGAGAAAAATAAAAAAAGAAATTTAAAACTTGTCTGATGTTGGTAAACATCGGATGGAGGGCCAAACTGGGAAAAATAAAAAGGGCGCCAGTCTACCGACCTTTCGCTAATATTTGTGAAAACATTGAGCTTTTTGTATTTTCGCTTTTGTTTTCATGTCTGTACGTAAAGAACTTTGGGAAACGAGTAATGGGGCCCCTTTGATCTTAACTTCTTCATATTGATGTGCTTGTACTATTTGAGAAAAAATGTTGGCAAGAAAATTCGGAGGATACTTCTGATTATGGGGAAGGGCTGCAAAGTTGATATATTTTTGAGCATTCAAAGTTTTGGATGCATGTATTTTATTTGTTTCCTATTCTCTATAGATCTTTCCTTAGGATCGTATTAAAATAACTAATGGGTTTACTCTCTCATTTCCATTTATCATGCTGTGGCTCTATGTTGATCATCCATACAACCATATATTGATTCTTTTTAGAGACCTTGGGCAGTCTACCCTTAGAATAGCTACTTTTGGGTCTCTTAAAAGACTTTACTTCCTTGTATTAACTTTGTGATCATAATCGGAGCATTTTATCTGTGCTTCTATGCATATTTACTTAATTTTGGAATTCGCCTACTACAAGTGTATATGCCATTTTATAGTAGTATCATAGTAGAAACAAAATCATGATTTTTTGTTTTGTTAAATTTTGAAGCTTATGTGCATAGATATTCAATAAAATTTACTTCCCTCACACATTATGTGAAAATGTGTGCAGTATCGGCAAATGAGGCGGAAAGAGCAGGATCGTCTTGCAAGGATGGATGTCGACTATCAGAGGAGGAAAGAAATTGCAGAGTTCAATATGAGAAGAGAAGAAAGGATAAACGCTGCGGAGGAACGAACTGCAAAGAAGAGATTGAAAAGACAAAAGAAGAAGCAGAAGAAGAAAGAGAAAAAGTGTAAAGTGGTTACTACAGAGGACCAAGACAAGTCTGCTGCAGAACGGGAATCTTCAGATAGTGATAATTCTGATGATGGTGAAGAACTGCACTAAATTTGAGCTATCATTCCATGATGTATCTTAGGCATCCATCTTTTGCTGTCTTCTAGCATAACATTGTGCAAATGCACCCAAACTCTTCTACTCATTAGTGAACTCTGTGTTTGTTGAAAAACCTCAAGTGCTTTTGTTTCTTTTATAGTTCTCGAGCTCTGACTCTCGGGTGCATATAACCTTTTTCCTCTTTGTTAGTTGAAGAGCCTACATCCAAAAATCTTGGATCCTCAAGATGCACTTGGATGTCTGATTTGCTGCTGTGAGGTAATGGATCATTCTTTATAAGCTTGTGCATGTGGTATAGCGAGAGTCTTCCTGTTTGCTTTAACATCATCATAACAGTTTTGGAGCTGGAAGTATGTATATAATTTATTTCACTTTGTTATGTTTATACACTTTCACTTTGAAGGCCATTCTTTGTTTCTACGATGCTCATTCCATCTGACCTTCTATTGATTGGGTTCTCAGTTCACCTCGGTTCCCATCAACATTCCCCTTGCTATCTTCAGCAAAGAATTGGGTCTCATCTTTATGGATTGCCGGTTTCTGCCTTTTATGGTTCTTGTTAAGTGAGTTTACATCTCTCTTTCCCTACTACGGTATTCCAATTGGGTTCTTTTGAGCATTCCATAATTTCCTGCTGATTGTGAACATCGCAAAATTATAAGGATCACCAGTTGCAATTTTGGAACCAATTGGTTGGAGGGTTCCCACATTACAATTTTCTATAGCTTAAAATCGTTGGCAAATATCACAGTTTTTGCCATAATAAGGTTGGAAGCAAGGGCGACTTGAATGTTGAAGGCAACTTGTTCACCTGGATTTGAAGACGCTATATTTGCAGGCATTTGGTTCCAAATAACAAGATATAAATAACCCCGCCAATGGGATTCAAAGATGAATTGTGTGATTTTGCACAAAACCGATTAATTACATTGCGAGAGACGCTAATAGGGGAGGAGAGAGAGAGAGAGGTGAAGGCAGGAGAAATGGAGGGTAAAAAGAACATTATCGTTCTATTAATAAGATGGGAAGCAGCAGAGAGTTAGGGATATGAAGAGAGAGATGGGAGAAGAGAGCATCACGGGTGGACGGGTGGGTTTGGGTAGAGAATGACCGGCACAAAAGAGAAAAATACAGAACTTGTGTAAGGCATTAAATGGGTTTTTGAGGCGGGAGAGGAATGGGAAAAGTAAAATTTTAGCTACAAGTTAGCTGGTGAACCAAATTTTATTCTTGGGATTTGGGTTGAGATCAACAGTGATATTTGAGGGCTCCATATTATTGTATGTAGCGCGGTCTTATAGGATCATTACTCTTTTAAAATTTGGATCAAACAAATGGTGTAGCTATAGTTTTTGAAAGTTATTGTATCATATCACCAAACAATCATTGCATTAAATCACTACCTCGTATATATGTGTAATGATCTTATGAGACCCTCTTATATTTGGCATATATATCAAGAAAAGTCAAGTTTCACACTTATGTAATAACTTTTTTAGAGATTTATGTCAAATTTAATAGTGATCCTTTGAGGTTCTACACACATGAGTGTGGAAGGGTCTCATAGGAT